TTTTTTTTTTTTGATTTTTTTTTTGATTTTTTTTTTTGAGGTTTATGAATTCGGAGTGGGGTTTACGAATTCGGAGTGAGGTTTGCGAATTCGGAGTGAGCTTTTTCAATTTGGAGTGAGGTTTACGAACTCGGAGTGAGGTTTGCGAATTCGGAGTGGGGTTTACGAATTCGAAGTGGGGTTTAAGAATTGAGAGTGAAGTTTAAGTATTCGGTGTGAGGTTTAGAATTGGGAGTGTCGTTTGGAATTTGGAGTGCACTTGTGGGCCACCGTAGTATGGAATGCTTGACATTGACCTGTTTTAATGCATCTTGTATGATTTATATATACCATTGTTTGTACAAAGACTATCTCCCTACTAGTAGATGCATTTATGTTTAAAATATCACCAGTTTTTGACTCACTGATTGAACTTTATTTTATTTTATCTTTTGACTGTCCTGTAATAATACTATAGGGTTGCCAGTTAGTTGGAAGAATGAAATTCCCAGACTCTTCACTGATCAGGATATTTTTATTGGCTGCGTAATACCACCTAATTTTCCAGGCTCCACCTCACCAACAACCTTCCAATCCATCCTTAATTTTTTTTTTTTTTTAATCTTAATCAAACCAACTTTTGTTATGTAATGCATGCGCCGTTACCTCCAGCTCTTCTCATACACATGTCCCGAGTCCAAGCTTGTGACCTATTTTAATGGTACATATTTTAAATTGTGATGTTGCCATGTAGACCTTTGAGTGGAGACTTGGCACATTGAGATTCAAGTCCTGCTCTCAAAACAATTGTCTGGCCTTGGTATTATGATAATAGGTCTGCATATCTGGTTTTTCATGAATTTATGCTAACATTGTGAATTTTTTTTCTCATCTGGTGTTTTCATTGTGGGGACATAAACACTCATGGACCTGAAGCCTTATGCTAGTTCCATATTCCAAATATCCATTTTACCTAGTAACTGAGCATAATTAAAATTTGGTGTTGATTTTGCTGTTATAATAATAATATAATAATAATATATTTATTTAAAGTCTAAAATCCATAAAATATGTTCTGTAGACTTTACAAACTAAAAACTTAAAACACAGTAAGATGAATTGAATTAATAAAATTATGACTTAATAGTCTGAGTTAAGATAATAATGTCCAGTTAATATTTCCGAGTTATAAAATGTTCTTTAATAAAATTTGTGAAAAAGGTATGTTTTTAAAGCTTTTTTAAAATCCTTCACTGAGCTAATGCTTCTCAAGTCTAGAGGTAATTTATTCCACTCATGTGGTGCTGCGTACTGGAATGATTTTTCGCCAAAAGATTTTAGTCTTGCGTTCTGTGGTTTTAGTAATAATTGATCCTTAGATCTTAAGGTACGGTTTGGTGTGTAATGAGATACAAGATCACAAATAAAATTTGGTGCAAGTCCGTAAAAAGCCGCATGAGCATGAGTTAAAAGTTTGAATAAGATCCGGGCGTTTACAGGTAGCCAGTGAAGTTGTTTTAATATCGGTGTCATGTGATTCTCCATAGAAGTTTGGGTAAGAAGACGTGCTGATATATTTTTAATGCGTTGGACTTTCTTTGTTCTTTCTATGCCGCATCCATAAAGCAAGGAGTTACAGTAATCAAGCCTTGATGTTACTAGGGCATGAATGACCGTGGCAGTGGCAGAATCTGTTAAATTATTTCGTAGGGAACTGATGTTTCTTATGTGATACAAACAAGATTTTTATTGCTTTAATACTAACAAAATAACATATATTTTGCATCATTGTTTCCTGCTTTTTGTCTGAACATTTCATAGCAACCTTTTCATTTCTCTTCTTTAAGAGAAGCCAAGGAAGTCTTTCTGGCCCTTGCAGAAATGCAGAGGAGGATCGCTTCAGCAATATCCCTGTGTTTGGAAAAATCCTGCTCAGTATGAAGTATGACTACAGAAAAGGTTGGCTAATTATACATATTTACCGATGCCAAGATCTTGCTCCAGCTGATGTGAAGAAGAATAGATCTGATCCGTGAGTTTTTTTTTTGCCATGTTTTTTGCAAGATACGTCATAATTTGAGACCTTTATACCATGTGAAAGCAAAACATGCCATTTGTAGCTTATCTCCAACAAAAACAAAATTTATGGTGTTATCCAAATGTGTTGAACTTGACTCATTCGCCTAATTTTTACACTGTTTAATTTATGATCTTAATATTATAAAATATCTCTGGGTTTCAGCTATGTCAAGACCTACCTCTTGCCAGATAAATCAAGAGGTGGGAAGAGAAAAACAAAGATAAAGAAGAATACATTGAATCCAACATTTGATGAATCGCTGCATGTAAGTTTCAGCATAAACTGTAAAGAAAATAAAGAAAATACTGTTCTTTTAGTTGGTGCCAGGATAAGCATTCCTGGTGAGCAATTCAATGCATCAATGAATTGTTTTTTTTTGTTTTTTTTCTTAATGTACATGTTGTGATTTATCTGCTGACAGTCACCCACTATCCTGTTTCAGTACACCATCACTAAGAATGAGCTGGAAAGAAGAACCCTGTGGTTGTCAGTCTGGCACAGTGTCACATTTGGCCACAATGTGCTCCTGGGTGATGTTGTTTTGCCTCTTAATAAACAGAACTTCAATGACACCTCACCACAGTGGTTCCAGCTATCAGGAGTAAGTTGGAGAAGTTACAGTAGTATTCAAAGCAATGTTAAATATCAATTTTAAAAGCAGGTTGAAGCATATACAGCTACTTTTTAATGATGTTAATTATAATTTACAGACACATTGTGTTAATTTAGTTTGTGAATCCCAAGTTTTTCTGCAATACAGGACCATATGGCTGCTGGGGATCGAGACCAAGGCGTTACTTATGTTACTGACCCGCACAGCATCAAAACAACGAGAGGGCAAGTTCTAAACCAGGCTGATGTGGGCAACCAGTGGCAAAGATCAATGTTATTGGAGACATCATTACAACCCAACTTTGACAACCAGCAGGATGACTTCCAATCCCAGACAACAAGAAAGACTGTTGTATCAGACCAATACCAACAAAACCAATCATCATCACAACCTACCTTTGGCAAGCAGTCGTTGCAACAAGGCAGTTTCCAATCTCAGACACTACCTGGTGAGTCAGCAGGACCAAATATATCCTATCATCAACAAGGAGAATCCCAGCATAGCAGACTACCTCAGGAACCTGTCACTGACTGCCACCTGGAAGAACAAGGTGGTGACCACATTCAAACAAGGAGGAAATCAAGCCATGACTTCCCATCTTTACCCCCACAACAGGACCCTGTGGCTGCCGAGGATCAAGACCAGCTTGTTACTGACCCTCAGACTATTAGAACAAAGGGAAGCCAAGTTCTTAACCAGGCCCATGGGGATAATCAGTTAGAAAGATTACCTACGGCAGTGACACATGGGATTGCTGGGGTTCTAAGACAGCTCCCTGCTAACACAGGCAACACAAATGTTACCCTCAATTTGCAACTGGTTAACCAATATTATAACTCAGAAAAGGCAACAATGACACACATGAAAGAGAACGATGTGACAACATCTTTTCATAAACATATTCCTCCACATGTGAGAAAACGACTGAACGAGACACTTTGTCAAAATGATGTATGGAACCAAGTAAAGAAGATGTATGGCATTTTAGATGAAACCCCATGTCCTCCTGATGTTGTGACTTCTTTGTTGTCTCAAGTCCAGGGTTCTATTGCATCTTTCATCAGTGTGTTGTTAAAGTTGAAAGAATGCCGCAGAGAAAGACAGCAAGACATTCCACAAGACTTGATTAATGAAGTCAAGGTAATTGATAATATGGTCTAAAATATAGTCAAATAAAGTAACCAGTCTTTAAAATTTTAAAATGACAATTTGTGTTTTGACTCCAAAACCATTTTCCACATTTCAAACATATTCTTCCTTTGTACTATCTTAATTTTAATTCAACAGAGTTTTTCATTTCTTCATATTCCAAGTGAAAGAATAAGAACTAGAACTAAATGTATGAGACAATGGGCTGGCTGTTTGGGATTATTAAGTGAATTGTTAGTTGTTTACACAACATCATGGTTTGAATGAACAGAAGTTGTAAATAAATGTGGCTTACTATATTTCTCTTCTAGAAAGGACTTCTGAGTGAAATGGAGTACAACAGACTAAGAGAGAAAGTGGTTGACTTTGCTGAGGAACTTTCGATTCATATAGAAAGAACTTTAGATTACCTGTATCAGTTTAGTGTAATACCAGATGAGGAGACAACAAAGCTTAAAAATGATGCAAAGAGAAATCCACAAGAAGCTTGTAGAAATTTGTTTAAAGCACTCCTTGCGACCAGTCCTAAAAAAGAGCCAATTAAACATCTGAGAGCTGCATTCAGGGATTGTGGTCTTGGGCATCTGACAGATGAACTAGAAGTCAGCTACCAGGACGTAGAGGATGAAATACAGAAACATGGAAGTGGCCAACCTTCTTGTGAAGAGCCGTTGGCGATAGGAATGTCAGCTCCCCCCACACCTGCAACAGGTGAAAACCCTATTGGAGAACATTAAAACTGTTTGTACAGTATTTGACAGTATGTATCAAGATTGTTTATGCTATTTGGGTCACCGTGGACTAAGAACATATGGTGTATTACCACATATATTGACATCAGACAAATAAAGTGATTGTCTGTATTTACTGATGTTGAACAATCCTGCTGAAAAACTAGTGAGGCAAACATGAATATTTACCATTCAGCATCAAATGAGACCCCTAACTTTTAACAGGAAGATGACAAATTTTAAGCAAAACCCATTGGCCCATGAAACCATTAATGCTGTAAGGGGACTTAAATGTTGTCTTACAGTAGATCTAGAGCTCCTACAACCTGTTTGTGTCCTCTGTTATAATACCACCAACAACTGATTGTCTCACCAAAATTTAGGGGTATCAAAGACACACCAGTGTTTTTGACCATATATGTGTACAAGGTGTAAAACCAGTAGAAACAGGTACACTGTGCACCTATTACAGTGTCCTGATCCTGTATATGCTATGGTAACTTATGCTATTATACCCATCTATGCAAACTAGCTTATAAATTAATCCTCTTAGTTCATTCCCACAAACAAAATTGGATATTTGTAAAAAGCACTGTATATAAGTAAAAAGTGTCAATATGTGTTTTATGTAAATATATTTTTCTGATAATTTCATTACCATGTAATTGATGTAAATATATCCCTTAAAGATGGCAACACCACAAATACATGTGGTAGATGTTTCAATATGTATACAAGGTATTATACTCTCAGTTTTGTCCCAATGTCAACGCCACAAATACATGTGGTAGATGTTTCAATATGTATATATGGTATAATACACTCATTTTGTCCCAATGGCAACACCACAAATACATGTGGTAGATGTTTCAATATGTATACAAGGTATTATACTCTCAGTTTTGTCCCACACAGAGTATAGTTTGATAATATAACACACGTATACATGTAAGTCTATTTATTATATTGATATCAATATGTATACAAGGTATTATACTCTCAGTTTTGTCCCACACAGAGTTTGATAATTTAACATGTGTATGTATGTAAGTCCATTTATTATTTTGATATTTTGGAGGTGGATGTTTTTATTTTATTGAATTATATTTGCATAAGCACTGTATATATGCAGAACATTTCAATGAGCACTTTATGTTAATATATATTCCCTCAAAGATGACAACATTACAGATATTTATGTGTGCAGAAAGTTACAATATATTTTATGTAGGATAAAATATACTTTGTTCTCATTCACAGAGTATAGATTGACAGATATCTTAACTTGCTTGTGTATGTTTATACATTCATCAATTAGTTTTACATTCCCCTTTCTAAATGTTTGAATATTTAACGTTGTGTTCAATTGTATTTTGAAAAAAAAAAAAACACTGTATATGTGTAAAAAATTTAATATGTAGTTACGTAAATGTGTTCAGTCAACAATATGAACAACATATACCTTTTTTAATATATTTATATATTCTCTCAAAGAGTGCATTCTTACCTATTTCGATCAATCCACTGGATCGACCTAACTTCCTGTGGGTTCACAATAAATCACTATCAGCTTCCAAGAGCTGAACGTGCACAAAAGTTAATTAGCCCCTTTACAGCTTTTAGTAGATGGGACTGATATTTAAGCCAGTCAGGCTGACTGCAATCTAATGAAACTCCCCAGGGGGAAAGATCAATCTAAATATATACGGGAATGGGGTCAAAGATGTCAACAGCATATATATATAAATATATATATATATATATATATATATATATATATATATATATATATATATGGAAAGATGTTAAAATATATAAAATATTGAATGTATTAGATCTAATATGAACATTCATGAACGTATGTATATTAGTTCATTAAATAGTTTTAGATTATTCGTGGCTTTAATTGAATCACTATAAATATATATGGAAAGATGGTTCAATATCTAGCATGTGTTAATATATTATGTAATCACTTTTCATTTACAGAGACAGTATTGAACAAATGTTTAATCTAATATCTATTATCCCAGTGTGCATATCAGTTCATCAATCAGTTTTAGGTTATTCATGGCTTTTGCAAAAATACCACTATGTGGTCATTGAAAATAAACTCATTTTCAATTTAAATTTTCTTACTTATATCTATGACATATAGGTTTTCTTGTCACCTTTATTTTATAGTTTTTATTTAAAAAAACTAAATCTATTTTGTAGAAAGAGAGTCCTCCAGAATTGACAAGCTCTATAAAATATTACAAATTTAACAGGTAAGAAGTCAAATTCCAGATAACAGAACAGTCAGACCCAGATATATTTTCTGACAGTCTTTCAAATTATCTTTGTTGGTCCACCCTCCATTTTGACCGTCTTCCGACAGAAAAAAATAGATACCTGTCAATGTAAACTTTAAATCTGACAATCCTCTGGAAGACCCAGATGACGATCTCAATCCGCCCCTGCAGAAAATTGCCAATGTACGATGTCCTATCCAAGTTCAATAGTAAACTGTTGGTGTATCTATGGAACGCCATTTGTACAAAAATGATGAAAGTATCATTTTGACAAGATTTTTACCGAGGTGCTGACATCATTTAGAGATCGTCACTTTCATCACTGAGAGAAAAATTTGTATTATGCAAGTCGTTTTCATTATTGTCGTTTTGTTATTTTGAGATGTCAAGTTTATCGTGTTGAGATACTGAGATGCTTTGTGCGAGGTGACACAATACCAGGGCTCGTCTCATAACAACCTGTTGGAAAAGGAACTAATGAATCCAGAACTGGTTCCCTGTCACCCTGCCTGGCCACAAGGCGGTAGATATGGAGGAAGCTGGTGTGGGCCACCTGAAGGCCAAATTCAGAGACGAAGGTGTAATTATAAATTTCAAATGTAATCAATAAATGTTTAAACTACAAAGCATTCAACTACAAAGCATACAAAGCATTTCAATTATCGAAATATAAATATATTTTCTTGAAATATAAGCTGTCGTCTGTCTTGATTGTTAAAATAAGGTGATTCAAATTGACTACTACTGGTTTGATCCTAAAAACAGATTACTTTCCATTTGCAATTGAAAAACGGTTCCCTATAAAGTTTTGTTGAAGGTACAAGCTAGGGTGATATTTACAAGACTGAAAAGCTTCTTAGCATCATTTTAACAGCAAAATTTGGAAACAGTAGCCTTAAAGATATGAATATTTTGGATGGTACATCTGTGCTAGTGTATAATTCATATTGCCTAGTAACAGTTGCTTTGGTGATCTCCAGGGCAACAAGTTCTGGTTCTACTGGCTGTATAGTGTTGGCCCAGTCACTGCCAAACATGCCTACGAATGATTTCACCGCTCTCTCCGTCCTTGAAAAGATAGGGTAAGATTAACTGAACGCAGGTTGAGCGACCGAGTACATATTTAGCTTTAATTTATTACTTATCATTTTGAAAGAGAAAAAAGTTAAAAATTAGGGTTTGATTTTGGAACCATTGGATATACCATTGAACCATCAAGTTGAAGTTATGCAAATATTGTTTATTCCAAATCCACATGATTGACATGATGTGCAAAACCTAAAAGACTTAAGGATTCCCTGCTCTCCTTTATTCCAAGTGCATTTTAAACATTTTCAATATAAAAATGTTGTATTTTATTCCATGTACGATAGTTTTCAAACTCCAGAACATTATGTATTTTATTATTGAATTATTGAACTTTACATGTTGTTTTCTGACCAGCATGGACCATTCCACTCAAGTGAAAACAAGGGAAATAGACACAATATACATGGGGAATAATAATAAACACAATAATCAACACAATATCACACTGGACTATCAACAGTGACATCGCTATACTTGCACTTACGTTTAATGGCTACCATACACAAGGTGACAGACACCCCAGAGTTATAGAGAGCCAGTTCCTGTACTTACGTGTAGCTCCTACCATACACAAGGTAACAGACACCCCAGAGTTATAGAGAGCCAGTTCCTGTACTTACGTGTAGCTCCTACCATACACAAGGTAACAGACACCCCAGAGTTATAGAGAGCCAGTTCCTGTACTTACGTGTAGCTCCTAC